TCTTGACCTCGTCTATCTCAAGGAGCTGACAAGTCCCCTTGACAAATATTAAACTTTATATCTAGTATTGTTTTCTGGCTATTTAACACTGAGAACAGAATGAAGCAGTTGTGAAGGAAATAGAAGCACGGCAAAGTCAAAGGTCCTGCTAAGGACACATGAAGCTTCTCTTTTGGAAGAAAAATAAAGCATGCAGATACATGAGTTCCTGTAGTTCTTCAACTGCAGAATTCAGTTAACTGAATATATAACTCTTTCCTTTTGATCTATGATTAGGTTCATCTCCTCTTTCCCATCAAATATTCCATTACTGTGATGCTGATTGAAACATAAAATACGAGAAAACATATTATATAAAAAATAGAATCATCCATAAACCTTGTCTGGGTCCCATATATCTTTTAAAAAAAACACCACACCATAATTGTATTTGAAACTAACTCACACAATAGGCAATCATACAGAGATACACATTTCCACAGTAAGATAAAGTCCGACCACTTTGTAACTAAATAATTGAAAATTAGATCTGAACCATAAATTCCTATTTGTGTAGGTATATGCTTACAGGCACACATATTTCATTACTGCTTGAAACAGTAAAATATATATTTATGCAATGCTTGTGTTATGTCAAAACCTCTTGAAGTATTTTTTAAGTGGCCCTGAAGTTGAAAAAAAATTCTAGAGCTGCAAATTAACTTCTAAGATGGCAAGCTGACAAAATAGCATTACCCTTTCTGAATATCCAAGAGATTCAGAATACTTCTATTACTCCTTAAAAGCCACTCACACAGCTTCCCGCAAATCCTCAGATATGATTCTGAGGAGATTTGCAACTTCAAATAGTTATTCCTCCATCTCTGCTTTAGATAATCCGAAATTCAAAAGGAAGTGTGAAGGAAATGCCACCCCCACCAAGAGTTAACTAGGCTCAAGGCTATTCAAGAAAATGCACAAAAACGCATTGAAGAAATAATACAATCACTTGAGGAAAACAAGAAGCGCAACGCCCTGAAGAAAATTTTACTACAGAGACGTTCAAAATACGAAACTGCTCCATATCCTTCCCAACTTTTGCCTACTGTTGCTGAACCCTGGCCTTACACGTTTGCCACAGAATTCAAGCAAGAGCAAACTGCCAGACCATCAACTAGTCAGGATGCAGAATCCAACAGACCAGAATTTATCTAGGGAAACTGTTTTACCAAATGTAAAACATGCCCAGGTAAAATGGATTGCTTTGTGGTTGTCCTATTATTTGCCATATACTAAATGTTATAAGAATAATTTTCTCCCAGCTTTAATTTGTATCCCCCCACACACACACCTCTCTTACTTGCACAGGTAGGACTTTTTGCAAAGTGGAAGGCTTCCAAATCTGCAACAGCTCATTCTCTTGTGTTTATGCTCTTAAATTTTTCTGGCTCCACCCTGCCCTATCCCTTCAGTCTTAAGTTTTCACCTCAGAATGTTAAATGAGTGGCTAAGAAGCAGGTTCCTGTTCATCTACCCATCTGATACCTGGAGCAGGGGCACCAAGTCTCTCAAAAACAAACTACTGTGGTAATTCTTGCATAAGTTACTCTATTTGGGGAGAAGAAAGGGGGTTTTAAAAAAAAACAAAGCTTTTGCAAACACCATGCAATTCTTCTAATACTTGGAATCCTCAAGCTGCTGTTACCCTTAGAAGACAGCAGATGTGGCTCTGATGACAAGTCAGGCTCTGAAACTGGCTGAGGAGATGAAGAAGTGCTAGGACTGGAAGCAGCTGCTGATGCTGGAGGGCTTACCAGCTTCTCTAGAAAGACAGACAAGGGAGGAGAAGAAAAAGCAGAGGAGGAGACTAGTGAGACACACGGCAGTACTGACATCCAGATGACTGAGGAGAGAAGGTTTAAGCAGCTAACACAGCGACGTCACATTCGATTTCGTTGAGGGCCGCATCAGGGTTGTGTCTGACCTTGGGAGAGGCAAGTGGGCATATTTGGGGTGGGTGTGGCCAGCTTGATGTCCTGCAGCCCTCTGCCAGCAAAAACGGAGCCAGGGAGGGCCATGAACGGCTGGCAGAGGGCTGCAAGAGGCTGTCACAGCCGAAAACAGAGCATGCACACGGCTTTCCCACAATCCGTTTTCCCTGGCAGAGGCACCATGTGCTGGTCCTTCGCCATTTCCAGGGCAGCCCCGTGACCCATAGGCCTTGATTTTGACACCCCTGAGCTAACATATTCTTAAAAGTTCTGAAACTTGGAAGAATTTGACCAGGGAGCAAGACAGATCCTGTTAAGTTGCTCACCATCAGATGTACATTACACATCATATGCTAACTTTATGCAGAAATGCTTTAATAAGTGACAGAAATGAAGAAATGGAGAAAAAAATGAATATGTAATTTAACACTGAATAATTTATTTTTTTCTGAACAAATATATGAGTAACCCTTAATTTTCTCATTGCTGAGAATTCTACCCTATGTTTCCAAAAATAGTGTTCATGTAGAAAATAGAGTCCAACACTCATACACCTCTACAAAAAACCCCAAAGAGTAACTGCTCCGATGCCCTGAAAAGAGGAAGGAATCCTAATAAGTATTCAACTGATATTAATTACTTTGTACATTTTACTCACGTATATCACCTAGTGAGTAGCCTGTCTAAAAGTGGGGTTAGTTGAACAAACTTCACTTAAGAACCTTGTTTAAAACCAGTAAAGTTAAAGTTTAACACTGGTTTTTGCAAAGCTATGCTTTCAACTTAGAAAAGGTCCAAATTCAACCTATCTTTAAGTCTAATTCTCACTCTATCAGTCGGTGCCAAGGTGGGATGTCTTCAGATTAGAGAGTTATATAATGAAATGTTTTCCCGCAATACTTTGATACAAATTATTTTTTAAAAAGGCTTTCCTTATTCAACAATATATACTTCTCCCTCAGAAAAATATTCTCTGCGGACATGTAGCGCAGCCCAGAGACTGATCATCTCGGCAACAGAAAGGTCTTTGTTACTCACCTAAGCCAAGAGATGCTGCATATTGTTGGCCAATTAAAGAATTGGCGGCAAGCTGACTGTAGGATGACATCCCTCTGAAAGGACTATAAGGCACATGAGGTTGAAAAGAAGATGCAGACGCAGAGCTCAAAGATGACTGAAAAAAGTGAATGTGGGACAATTAGCAAAATGAAGAAAACAATATGGATGACAGTCCAAAAATTTCTTACATGCTTTAAGAAATGCAAAGATTAGCACGTATTAGGCATTGTTGATTTAATCATGGTTTCTGAAGAAGCTAAAGTGGTGTGGCTGCTAAATATGTTTAATATCATGCGGGCAGGCAGCATAACATCTGGTCGATAACTTTAAATCTGATATGTTGTGAAATGAACAGTATCATGAGGAAAAAAGGAAAATCTTTGTAACCATCAATTTAACAAATCAAATGAGGAAAGATTCATTCAGCTGTATAATACGCCCAAATTTTTCACATGAAGCTGAAGATGAAAATCAGACAACCTTAACTCAAATTATGTATTATCATCTTAATAAAGAGAGCCACAGTTGGGGTAGTGGTAAGAAACTGGGAGAATTCTAGTTCTACTTTAAGATAGAAAGTCATCTGGAAGGTTCTACGCCAGTTCTTCACACTCAACCTTAGGAAGATAGCAATAGCAAACTACTTCCCAAAACCAAGAAAACTACAGGGACTCATCCAGGCAGCTACCAGGAGTCAAGACTGATTTGAAGGCACCCTGAATGTCTTAGTGAAAGCCAGCTGCTATAGTCTTCACAAATCATAGTCATGAGAATAGATCTTCCTGCCTCACCATATCCTTCAACACCTAGTGCTATATAATGCTAATAATGTTTTTTTTTAAGAGGAACACTTTTTGCCCATTGATAGATTTACAAGATTTTAGTTCCTAATGTGTCTATTACTATTTATCTCTTAAATCACCAATCCTCAATGTGTTTCATTTTTGGGTTCTAGGTTCTAATTTTTGAACAGGAGTGCACTGGCAAAGCATTCAGAGATAGTGGTCAAACTTCTGTATAAAACTATGTGGTTCCATCACACTAGCCAGGCAGCAAATCAGAAAAGGCCCACATGCTGTTAATTATTAATTTAATAATTTTCTCATTGTTGGAGGGAGAGAGATAGTCTTAAGATTTGAAATAACAAACTCAATTGAATACAAATGCATTTCATCCAAATATGTCTAGGATCAGTACTGCCATTATGTTTAGAACAGGATTAGATGGATTTCACCTTAAACTCTCATTTCAATATCAATGTTTGGAAATGAGTAAATCCTAAATCATGGCTAACAATAGTTAAACTAAAAGTGAAACACTTCATGTTGACTGCGTTCATAAAGCGTACTTAATGTTGGCACCAACTTTACCCATTTTCTGGTTTATTACACTAAACCATAAATTAATCAAATGGATTAGGTATCACAACAGATTAAACCACAAAAAAAGAATCCAAGAGGAACACTAACTAAGGGTAACATTCTTATGGAAATGCAGTTTGGTAGGTTTTAAGCTGACCTCAGTAAGCACTGTACATAAAGTGTCATTATATTTTAGATTTAAACGGCCATCGCAGTTTATTAATTATGGCTAATTTATCATGGAGTGTAAACCAAGTAGCATCTGAAATTATTAATGTACTGGAAAGAATAGCAACTTAGTCAAATAGTAGACAAAACATTTGAAAAACCTTAAAACTCAGGAGGTTATTTGTTTCCTGTTTTCATTTATATGCTCCTAAAACAAGGGAACTCCAACATACTGTACATCTGTACTCAATCCTGAATGTTCAGATTTTTTTAAATGGCTAGTACTGTTTTTGTTTAAATAAGACTAGGGGGGGGGGTCTAACCTCTAACCAAACCAATTTGCAGAAAATGGCTGTGTTGAAATATGCCCTAGGTACATCAAGTTTTCCAAGTAAAATCTTTACCAGGGGCTATTTTTCAAATGAGTTCAGACAGAACTCTGGCCAAAGACTGACATTAGCCAAGGATAGGGAACACCCAGTTTCCATGTTACAAATGACTCACTAACCTGCTCTAGTCAAGCTATTGAAAATATTTCCCCATTAGGCTCTGTCCGAGTTGTAAATTCATTGGGAGAGGACCCCATTCATACCATCACAACTGGGGACATCCTTGGTGGAAATGGGTGAGATAATCAGCCTTCCATTCTTCTGAGGTCGATAAAATGAGGACCCAGATTGTTGGAGGCAATATGCTGATTCTGTAAACCGCTGTAAAGCACTGTGGAGTAGTATATAAGTCTAGGCGCTATTGCTACAATCTTCCGAATCACACTCTAGTGTTTTTGAATAGCAAGAAGTTTCTTGTTATTCCATTTTTGTTTCCATTTCTGCTATCATTGTGCTAGAGCGAATAAACAGGTCTTAATAAGATTGTTAATATACTACTGTGGTTAAGCTGTTTGTGTTCGTTTTTCATTCCCTACTTCACTTACACTTCTATTGTTCTTGTCCTTGAGCACTACATTTAACAGAAAGCTATGATACTAATTTAATCTTAGAAAACATAACAAGCAACAATAGAGTCATTCTTACTGAATTAGAACTTATCAACAGGCCCAGTTGAATTTATATATGCCTACTAGTGCCTAGTAAGGGTGGTTTTTACTGTTCGACATTCCCAAAGAAATACTAGGTAAAACCCTTATCTGTTCCAAATGGAATTACTTACTTGGACAATAGCAGGATCTTGGGGCAGATTATGCTGTGCTTTTGGAGGCTCACATACAGTGATATCTTTAATGTCACTCCCTCGGAAGATGATATATTCATAAACTTCTTCCCTCGGAGGAGCAGGGCGGTCTGTGGGACGATCTTCTGTTCCAAATGAGCGCACTATGAAGAAAGACTTAAATGTTACTACTTGAACTCGATACCTGTTTCACACCATTTTTATATACATATTATCTTTTTGGCTATGTGCTTTGAGCTGTGCTATCAATTCTCAAAATAGGAGTTAGTATTCATAGAAGAACGTATTTGTAGCTCAAGGTTGAACTGTGAGGTCCTTGGCGCTCTCTGAGCTTGGTGGTTTTCTTGCAGACATTTCATTACCAAAGTAGCTAACATCAACAGCACAAGTTAGTATTTTTTAAGAACTTATACTGACTGACCTGGCTACTGAGTGGTCCAAGTTATTAGCACTTGTTGACCAATATTAAAGACTGCCTCTTTGTCTCCCTTTCCATTACACTATATTGTTGCTTTGGATCTCAGATAACTCCTGCGAAGGGAAATATATTAACTGATAATTTCTCAAGTTATCCTAATCCAAAGAGTAATGGAAGAAATTTATTTTTCTTCCCTGTATCCTCTCCCATCCATGAGGTGGGACAAATTGTGGCCGAGTGACAAGACATCTTGGGTGTCCTGTTTAATGTTCTCTCCAAGAAACTTATCAAGCACTTATGCTGATAGAATGTGATCTTTTTTTAAGCCGTATTTTGAGAGCATACATTAAATGACTGAAGATAGTCTTTGACTTACAGTCACAATTGAGTCCACCATCTTTGTTGCTAAGTGAGACATTTGTTAAGTGAATTTTGCCTCCTTTTATGACCTTTCTTGCTACACTTAAGTGAATCACTGCAGTTGTTAAGTTAATAATACAGTTGTTAAGTGAATCTAGCTTCCCCATTGTCGTTGCTTGTCAGAAGGTGACAGGAGGTGATCGTATGATCCCAGGACACTGCAAGCATCATAAATATGACCCAGTTGCCAAGCATCCAGATTTTGATCACGTGACCATGGGGATGCTATAACGGTTGTGTGAAAAATGGTCATGTCACTTTTTTCAGTGCCACTGTAACTTCGAATGGTCACTGAATCAACTATTGTACATCAAGGATTATCTGTATGTACAATTATGGTCTTACACTAAGCATTCTAAAGGCAGGATCTATCCAATATGTTTTCAGGATTAGGCGGAGACATTTCATTTTCCAAAGGCTTTACATTATTTTTTTGTTCCTAAAATAAATATTTTGCTTATAATGTCATATTTAAAAAATTGAACTGGCTGGAAATATTTATTAAAAAATAGTACATAAATGTATTAAATGAGGATAGAACAACACTGTTTTAATACAAGCAGCAATGCCGTTTTGTTTGAGTGGTCCAAAAATTAAAACATATTAAGTTTCTCTCTTGTTTCAAATAAATAGATTACTCAAAATTATACTTGAATGTTTGTTTTTCACTAACATTGCTCACTTGCAGGAATGAAACCATATAATTTGGGGCTGAAGAAAGAAGTAAACCAAATATTGAAGTAATTCATCCCTCAGTTTTCTTTAAATCATGCCTATCCACCCCTGCAGAATGGAGCAATTAGCAAGGAAGTTTGATACTGAGAGAAATGAAAAATGTTTATTCAACAGAAAGCGGGAAAAAAAAGCTGGAATGTTTTAAGACAGTAATTCTCAATCCAAAGACTTGTGTTGTTTTCAATGGGAGAAGAAGGAGAAACATGGCATTTGGACAGGAAGATCAAGGAGTTGTTCCACATAAAAAAAAAAGTATAGCCTAATAATAGGATTCGCTTTTGGGAGGACAAAAATTACATGTGTATTAGGTTGAACTGAATCAAATTAGCAGAACTACATTCTCATGGCAGGAGATTCCTTTGTTTTCACTACAACAACTGACAAGCTTCCTCATTCATCCACATTTGTTGCTGCCAAATTAAAACTAGAGGTCTAGTTTTATGTTCAAAATATGCCTCAGTACCAGTTAACAACTGTACAACTCTTCAGATGCAGCCAATTTTTTTTAAAGCAGTACTTCTTGTATTTCCTTCCTAAGTATAATCAGAGCACAAGAACTCTCAACTTAAGACAATTAAGCCTAGAATTTTAGACATAAATCATTGTGATCATTAACTGAGACATTCATGTGACAGCCTCACAAGATTACATCCCCAATTCTCCCCATTGTGGTTGTTAAGCAACTGCGCAGGAGTGCCTCAGTGTGGGGAGTCTTGGAAGGCCTGACGGTTTGAGAGGCCTCAGCCACTGGTACATGGACCTCCTACTCCTCCCCACCAACTCCCTAGAGCTGTGGGTTTTCTCCTTGCCCCATCATGCCTGGGTCCCTGGTGCTGCTGACAGATGTGCTCAGTTGATGTGAGGCTCAGATAGAAAGCTAGCAAAGGCAATCTTCCTCAGAGGCAAATCTTTCTCAAGGCTGACCAGGAATAGGAAGTTGGCCAGTAAAATGATGGGGCAGGGTAAAGGCCCAGGCCTCTTGAGACTAGAAGGGAGAAGAAATAGACTTGCACACCAATGGCTCTAGATCAGAGTTTCCCAACCCTCCGGTCTATGGACCAGCACCGCTCCATGGCATGCCAGAAACAGGGCCTTGCAAACAAGCAAAGCCCCATCTGCAGGATGCATGCAGCACATGAAACCATCCCCCCGAAAAACCTCTCTCCACAGAACCAGTCTCTGGCACCCCAAAAGTTGGGGGCTACTGCCCTAGATGACTGGTGCCTTCCAGCCCACAATGGAGAGGAGTTGTCAAACTCCCAAAGTTGCAAGAGCATGCATGTTGCCAAACACTCTCATTTTAATGATGTGACTAGGAACAGTGCGACATTTGGAATTTTGGACAGGGGCCATGAGTCTCTTTGCTCAGCTCATCTTAAGTTACAAATAGTCATCGAATGAACAATTTTAATTCTAAGTCAAGGCCACTTTAGTGCTCTCATAGTATTGCCTCTTCTGTTAGGAAGACTGATATCATAGGTACTCCATCTTTACTTGTTGAAGGCAGGTAAAAACATATTGATCACATCCAGGACAGACTAAGAAAAACATTAGCAACAGAATCTCCTCAACAGATCCCATCAGAGGAAAGTTACGATACTTTCCCAAAGTGACGCTAGAAGACTGGGAGATAATTTTTTATATTAGAGCAATAAATAAAGTAATTAAAAAGATTTAACTTCAAAGATGCTCTAAATCTATTAAGGTTACTTTATAATCAAACATCATTTTTATCTAGTTAGATCTAGATATTAAAAGGCAAAAGATTACCAACTGGCAATTTTTAATGGCCCTGTGCACAACTCAGTAGTGGTGTAGTATTTCACCATTACTCATTAAATCAGTCCAATGATTTCCCCTGAAAAGTAGTTTTCCTGTTTTAAAGGATTTACCATTAAAGTTAATGAAATCCTGAAGAAGAAATAACTTTCTTTACAGGATTCCGCAGAAGCTTGAAAATGACAATCTGTTTTAATAAAATGGTCTGTAGCATTCATTCGCAAGATTTATATGGCTGCTCATCTGAAATACATGACAGCTGATACTAAAAACACATTCATATACAAAAGTCCACATAAAATTCATAGCAGCCAAAAGAAAATTACAAAAACATTGGGTGCCACAACAGGAAATGGACACCATTGCACATTCAGAACCCCAGGCTGCACAGAACCAAGCCTCCAAGGTCTTGGAAATCTGGAGCCAATGTAATCTGTGGAGGGATGATATTCCAGAGGGCAGGCACCGCTGCAAAAAGGACTCTCGTCTTGAGTTCCAGATGACACTACTTAGGAGATAGGATCCTAAGGGACAGGATGTCCCTACTGCTAGACAGGATCGGACAGAAAGAAAAAAACAGGGAGAGATGGTCTCGTAATAATCCAGCCTAATAGCAATAGTACTTAAGACTTATAAATTGCTTCATAGTGCTTTACAGCCCACTCTCAGTGGTCTACAGTCAGCATATTACCCTCCCAACAATCTGGGTCCTCATTTAATGACCTCGGAAAGATAGACATCTGAGTCAACCTCGAGCCGGTCAGAATTGAACTGCTGGCAGTTGGCAGAGTTAGCCTGGAATTATGCATTCTAACCACTGTGCCACCAGAGCTCTTAAAGCTCAAGCCATGAAAGCCTTTAAAGGTAACTACCTTCATTTTGAATTGCACCCAGAAGCACACCAGTAACCAATGCAGAGTAGTGATGTTGCATGTGCCAAATAATAAAAGCACTTTTGATTTTGGTGCATATTCTGTGTCAGATGAAGCCCTATACAGAATGTATTATAAACCTCCAATTGGGAGGTCGTTAGGACATGACTGACTGAGCAGCCTTCCTGGTCTAGGAAGGGGTGCAACCTACAACACAACCCAAAGCTGCCTCTTGCTCCTCACTCAGGAGCTGTGTGTCCAAGGGGATCACCAGGTTACACACTGGTTCTGAGGCAGTGCAACAACCATTCAGAAACCAAATGGAAAGTCCCAGGGTCCAAAGAGCTCCAAAACAAAAAGTCACTCTGTCTTATTTTTGTAGATCTAAATTGCAATATTCTTTATTAAAAAGTGCATAACGTTTTTTTAGCTTTGATGAAAATACAGAATCAGCCCCTCCTCTAGAAATAATGATTAATTTCAAGAGCTGAAGAAGCTTCTTGGGTGAGAAGCAAAACGTCTTCAAAGAAAAACAAGAAAGTCTGTTTGCCTCTTGAAAAAAGCACGTTTGGGGCAACCTTGACCTGGATGACTGAGACTCCATAGACGATTCATTTCAAACTTAGTTTAAGAACACAACATCTAGATGGACAAATCCTGCTGCTGCAGGTACTACTTTTAAAGTTCCTTCAGGATCAAAAAGTACATTGTTAAAGCAAATAAAGTTAAATGAGGATTTGCAAACAGATTTCAGCATTCTTCAGCTACTATACAGTATTTTATTTTTTGCACACTCCTTGCCTTGGGGAGGAAGAGTTACAAATCAATTTCTTAGGTCCTATTAGGAATGGAGGCTCCCAGTAGCACCCAGTGGCATATAAATCGAATAAACCTCAACCTCAACCAACACTATTTGGCC